GTCAACTACATGGGAGTCCAGTGACATAGCCATTACGCTAACTGCTGGTCCCTCTTCCTAATTCTTGAAGTTCAATCTGAGTGTTCAGAAGCGTGTCGAAGGAGGTGATCTGGAATCTCTTTGCCTTTCTGATTTTATTCCTTTGTGAAGCAGATTCAGTGAACATTGAGGAATATATTAACCCTAATAGTATTTGGATGTTTGGCTATGGTTCCCTTAGATCTGTCTAGAAACACAGTGAATGGAGATTGAGGAGCAGAGTGATGAGATAAAAGAAAAAGTAAAGGAAACAGAGAGAGTCTTCTTCTGAAGGCCTGCCCTTTGCCTCTCCTGGGCGGGAGTGGGAAAGGGGATTATTAGCAAAATAAAGGAGGGGCTGAAAGCCAAGAGAATATTTTACCTTAAAAAATTGTAAAAAGGAAAAATTACAAAAAAATGAGAAGACAGAAGCAGAGAGTGACAGACTGAGACACAGAGACAGAGATAGAAGGCCAGAGGGGCTCCCTTCTACGCTAGCTTATCTGCTGGAGGCTAAATTATCCGTAGAAAATCTTCATTTCTCTTGTCCCCTTCTGAACTTTTTCCTTTTTTTTTTCTTTTTTTTGGGAGAGGTTTTTGCTATAGGGCATCTGTGCTTGCCAGAAAGACAGAGAGAGACAGAGGAGAAAGTGAGAAATCACCCTCCTGGGGAGGGTGGTGGTGGTGGCCAGGCCACAATCCCTTCTCCTCTATTCTCCTCTCAGGATCTTGGGCACGCACACACACGTGCCCAGCATGAGTTTAAGCCACCAGGTCCTGCACTCAAACCGTAATTGACTACATGAGAGTCCAGCGACATAGCCATTATGCCAACTGCTGGTCCCGGAACTTTTTTTTTTTCTTTAACAGGGTCAATAAATAATCTGAGAATGGGGCCAGCAGGTGGCATGGTGGTGGTTAAAGCACTGAATCCCACATGGCTTACTGAGTGTTTCAGTATTAGACTTGATAGCTTGAAAAACACACTATGTGTGTGTGCATGTGCATACCCCAAATCCTAAGAGACAAATGGAGAAGGGATTATGGCATGGCCATCCTCCTCAGGGTGGGGTGGGGGAGGTAATTTCTCACTTTCCTATCTCTTTCCAGGGAGTGTACCTGCATGGGATTTTGGGCATGCTGCATGTGCACTCGGCATGATCTTCAAGCTGCCAGGTCCAGGACTCAAACTATGGTCAGCTACATGGGAGTCCAGTGCCTAAACCACCACACTACCTGCTGGCTCCAAGATTTCCTTCTTTTCAGAGGCTGAGTAATATTCTGTTATCTTCACATACCACTTTATTTGCCCAGAGGGTGTGTGGTCTCCTGAGAGAGAGAGAGAGAGAGAGAGAGAGAGAGAGAAAGCACCTGACAATGGGGTATAGTCACACCACAACCCTTTTTCCTCTATTTTATTTCTCTGTCCAATCAGGGTTCTGGCACCCATACGTATTCCCATGGTATTGATCAAACCTTTGGGGCTGGGACTCCAATGGCCGGCCATAGAGGCTCTGGCTCTCTACGAATTGTGCTTAACTGCTGTGCTATGGGGGTCAACCCCACATTCATCTGAAAAGTGAGAAATCACCCCCGCCCCCGGGGGGGGGGGGGGATGGCCGCACAGCAATCCCTTCTCCTCCATTCTCCTCTCAGGATCTTGGGTACACACGCACACGCGCCTGGCGTTGAGTTTAAGCCACCCGGTCCAGGACTCGAACGAACCCCACTCGCCTACATGGGAGTTTGGCGACATAGCCATTTCGTCAACTGCTGGTCCCAAGAGGATCTATATAAATGCAAACTTCGGTTTGATTTACAAAGCGTTTTCTTTTTATTACAAAAGTGGCAGAGATCAAAAGGCTGTCATCCTGCACGGGGAGTGGGAAATGGGACCCAAACCTGGCGAAGCAGCAGGATCCGGGATGAACACAACCTCTGGGCCCTCTCCCCACCCGCGCCGCCGCTGTCCCTCGCGGTGCGTGAGGCCTTCGCAGCGCACGCTGGGACTTGCAGTTTCTACTTTGCCCGGCGGTGAGCCCGCCTCCCTGAACCGCGGCGACTTCCTCTTTCTGCCTCGGACTTGCGGTTCCCGGAAGCCGAGGAGGCTTAAAACTTTCTATGCTTCCTTTCCCCGCCTCTTAGTCCCGTAGATTGTCAACCCAGATAGCCAATAGGTTTCTCGACTGGTACTTCCTGTTATCTGATTGGTTTAGAGTTTTGCAACCGCCCAGACAAACTTGCCGAGGATTGGCTGAGCTTTCAGTTTTGAAAATCGTAGATTTCGCCCGCGCTGCCACCGCCTGGTAGCTCCTCCCTTGCAGTGACCCTTGAAGGCTGGGAGCCGAGTGGGTCTGGGCAGGCGAGGACTCAGATAGGGAGAGCGCCGGACTTGGATCACAGTAGCCTTTGCGAGACACGGTGCAGCCAAGGTGAGTACGTGCAGGTGGCCGGCGGGGTGGAGTGGTTAGCGATTCAGTCCTCCTCCCCTCCCCCAACCCTCTTCCTGCCAACTCTAGACCAGAGGCGTGACCTCCCACCCCCGACCTCTTGCGGTCTGGGAATATAAGGGTCACCTCTTCCAAATGGTGGGATGGTCTGTCTTCGTCCTCTGCCTGAGGTGACCCCTCCGCCTTCTTTCCAGGTCCTAGGTTCTAGAGAATAACCCTGCCTCCTGGGTGCCTAGCACTTTGTTTTGTGCCTAGAAGGCTCTTTGTTACTGGTCGTGCTGGAAGCCTGAAACCTGCTGTCTGCTGCCAGGTTGTTTGGCAGCATTATGGCAGATGGCATTTCTGTACAGTTAAACCCCTCTCTCAACCCCCATCTCCCGCTCTCAGCTGAACAGCATTTTAAACGGACCATTTCAGTAGGCCGATGCTTGCCCTTATCTTGGCACTCCTCACTCCTCAAATGCGTTCCCCGTCATCTTTTCAGTTCTAGTCAGCCCGTGGGCTTCGCTTGGGGGTGCAAGGGGACCAAGACTTGGCGCCTGCCTTGCAGAGGTTATACCCAGGAAGCAGTATAGTTAAGAGGGGAGTTTAAATCCAGGCCCCGCCCCTGTTGTACTGGTGACTTTGACTTAACTTCCCTTTGTCAGTTTCATGGTCTGCACTTGGTATCCTCCAGGTTGTGGTGAGAATTATATGACCTGATGTCCAGCAGTGCTTGCAACAGGACTTAGTAATATGGGTAACCATTATGACTGTCCAGCACGGAGATGTGGGGCTGTGCCCAGTTGTCTGCACCCTGAAAAGAACAGGAGTCGCAAAGGAGGGTGGTATAGTGGTGTGGAAGCAGTGCTGGAGAGGAAGACTGTGCAGAGCTCCTTTCCCTCTGGGTGGGATGTTGGGTGCATGTGTTCTTCACATGCCTTCTAACCAGGAGCCTGGTTCTTTGTACACTGATTGGCCATCTCTGTTCTAGCTTATGGTGACTCGGTTCTTCACATGCCTTCTTCCCAGGAGCCTGGTTCTTTGTACACTGACTTGGCCATCTCTGTTCTAGCTTATGGTGACTCTATTTAAATGGCCAAGCTAAGGCCTGCTAAAAACAAACTTCCCCATAAAGGAGGTGCAGATTTTTTTTTCTTTTGTATTTTATGAAAGGCATTCTCATGCATTTTGCTAATTTGAACAAATACTTAAGAAATGTGCTAGCCAGTTGTTTTCTGTAGCTCCCCTGCAAAACTCTGGCTGCTTTAAATGGTTTTCTCTTTGCTGACTTTGAATTAGGGTCCTGCACTTTGTGCCAGGGCTGTGGTTGGGGTGCTAGGAGCAAGAGGGATGTCAGTGAAAAGCTATGCCCATGACTGGCTGACGGCAAAGTTGAGGTCCCTGCCCTAACCTGTATGATTCAGCCCGATTAGTGCTGCCTTTGGCATTGAGGAGCAGGAGCTTGGGTGTGTGTTGGCCTATCCTAACTTGTGCAGTGTGAGTCCATTTGGTGGTTGTGTGTGGTGGTGGTATGGAGGAGGGCTACCTCTAGAATGTTTTATTTCTAGGTGTAGAGTTGATATGTAGATTAATTCACTCAACAAGGATTCCTTCCGTGCCAGGCACCGCTGGGCTCTGAACGTTCAGTGATGAGCCAGACAGGCAAGGACTTGCCCACAGGGAGCAGGTGTTTAGTGGGCAGGGACAAGTTGTAAGCGAATGATCACTTACTGCTATGTAAAGAATGAAATCAATGGATGTGATCGTGGCTGGAACTACTTTAGATTGGTGGCCAGGTCCTCCCTGAGGAGCTCAGATGTAAGCCATAAGGAGACAGGGATTCCAGACAGATGGCAGAACCTGTTGGAGCAGAAGGCTAGTGTGCTTCTGAAATCAGGACCATGGAAGTCCCATGAGGCTGCAACCTGGCCTGGTGTTACACTGCACCAAAAACCAAAAGGTCAATACCTTAAGCCCTCCTGCCAGGACCTTCCATTATAGGTGGAAGCTTGAACTGTGCCAGGTTCTCCTTGGGTTTGAAGGTATAGATCGGGGTTGTGGGTCACCGCCATGACATAAGGCTTATGGTCTGTTATGGTTTACAACCAACACCCTTTCATTTGTTCTTTCATTGATTCACCAGTTGGAATTTATTGGGCCCCTGCTATGACTGTAATAGAATCATTCTTCCTTGTTTGGGGCTGATTTAAACAAACAAACAAACAATTTTTTTTTTTTTTTTTAGAGATTTTCACTATAGGGCCCGTGCGCTCGCCAGACAGACAGAGAGAGACATAGAGACAGAAAGCGAGAAATCACCCCCCAGGGGAGATGGTCACGCCGCAGTCCCTTCTCCTCCATTCTCCTCTCGGGATCTTGGGCACACATGCACACGCGCCTGGCGTGAGTTTTAAGCCACCGGGTCCGGGACGCGAACTACGGTCGACTGTGTGGGAGTCCAGCAACATAGCCATTACGCTAACTGCTGGTTCCCAACAAACAATTTTTTAAAGATTTTTGCCATGGGGCACATGCGTCTGCAGGAGAGAGACAGAGGGAAAGTGAGAAATCACCCCTCAATGGGTGGTGGCCATGTCACAATCCCTTCTCTTCCATTCTTCTCACAGGATTTTGGGCATGTATACATGTGATTATCAAGCCTCCAGGTCTAAGATTCAGACTGTCATCAGCCATGTGGGAATCCAGCACCATAACCACCACACCACCTGCTGACCCTGTGGGGCTTGTTTTATAACCAAGTTTTTAGGAGGATACACAAGTTGCTAGTTTTTTAAGAAGATAAGGGGCCAGCCTATGGCATGGTGGTTAAGGAGGTTGGATCCTGCATCGCCTATTGAGTGGTTTGAGTTCCAGACCTGGTGGCTTGAAAAACACCAAAGGTGCATTTTTTTGTGTGCCCAAAATCCTGAAAGGAGGGAGAAATGGAGGAGAAGGGATTGCTGTGTGACCATCCCCATGGGGGGTACTTTCTCACCTTACCTTTCTCTGTCTCTCTCTAAGGGTATGTGCCTTCTGGCTAATTGAAATAAAGTAAAAAACTGGGTTTGTGTTTTCCTCGGCCTGATACCTGCAGACAGGTTTCCTTAAGCAAGACGTTGCTCATCTGCACCTCTCATATTCCCTCCTGGGGGTCTCTTGGAGAGTGTACCTTTGGACCCCCCACTTTGTGGCCACTCCTTTGGAATGCAGAAGCCCTTCCAGCCACTGACCTCTTAAAGAGACACTTGATTTGATGTGCTTTGGCTTGATGTCTGTGGTCAGCTGGTGTGTAGCTCAGGGTGGCTTTCTGCCCAAAGCTATCCACGAGTAGTAAGAGGGGAGTCCACAAGAGAGTATGAGTGGGCCTACATTTGGGCAGGGAGAGAGGGATACTTGGGTGGCCACTGTTGCTTCCTGACCCAGGAAGGCAGGTGGCAGTGTCCTGTCATCCTAAGTCCAGAGAAGACCCTTTGTAAGGAACACTGTTATATCAGAACTGGCTGAGAAGTCTGGGCTCTGGGTGTGACAGCATAGTGGGTGTGTGTGGGGAGGGGGAGGCGTGAAGAACTGAGGGCAAGGACCCCTCTTTTTGTTGAAGTGAGACCAGTGGGTTGGGGTTTGGATCTTGAGGAGTAGCTGCCAGCAGGGAGGAGCCCTATTGCAGATACTGGGTGTTTTGTGGAGGTTTGGGGGTGGGTGCTGCATCCTCACAGACTGCCTCTTGTCCCTTTTTCGCCAGACAGAGCCACCATGGGGACGACAGCCCCAGGGCCCATTCACCTCCTAGAGCTGTGTGACCAGAAGCTCTTGGAGTTTGTCTGCAATGTGGACAATAAGGATTTGGTGTGGCTTGAGGAGATCCAGGAGGAGGCCGAACGCATGTTCACCAGGTGAGGGTGGTGTCGGGGACCCCTGGGGACAAACAGCTCCATTTCTTCACCTGACAGGCAAGACAGACACCTTGGGAGAGCTCCCTCCTGTGTGCCTGGTGTGCTGGGACCTACCTGGTATAATGGAACAGGGAGCAGAGATTGGATCCCTTGTGTAAGGCTCATGATAGTTCTGTGAGCTGGGCTGCTGAGGACATGTGGCAATGGAGGCTCACCTGGGAACTTGCTTCCTGCCACATCTCCAGGGCGAAGCCCTGAGTTCTTGGCAGGTGACCTGCACATAGCCTTGGGCAGCTCATTTGTTGTTTGTCACCCTGGTTTGACCAGTCACTACCATGAAATGGCAGGAGACAGGTTGAGTGGCAGAGGGGGCCAGCAGTTCCCAGGCAGCCTTGAGCATCGCCATCCTTGTACCAAGCAGAGAATTCAGCAAAGAGCCAGAGCTGATGCCCAAAACGCCTTCTCAGAAGAACCGACGAAAGAAGAGACGGGTTTCTTATGTTCAGGATGAAAACAGAGACCCCATCAGGAAAAGGTAGGAGATGCCAAGGGAGGTGAACTAAGCAGGTGAGGGCTTGATGTCTTCTGGGAGGTTTGATTCCAAGGGGTTCATGGAAGCAGCAGCCTGCAAAGGTAGTGGTGGGTACCGTGTGGGTCATGCAGAGAGTGGGATGCCTCAGAGAAATGAAGTGTGACCTAAGATCGTGGAGCTCAGTGCACCTGTCTGCCTGTGGGGTGGGCATAAAGGTGTTCCATCTGGGCCCTGGAGAGTGGGGACAATTTCCAGAAGTGGAAGAAGAAAGAGAAGCCAACCTTTTGTTGGTGGGAGTGATCGGAGGGATAAACCATGGCTGGTCCCCAACCCTCCTGTGGTGGTGCTCGTTATAACTTCCCATGGGAGTGATGAAACCCCTGCAGAATACTGGGGTCAAGAGACTGGTCTTGGGGTCAGGCAGTCCTTAGCAGCCCCCAGTTCTGCCGCTTAGCAGTAGTGTAGCCATGGGTTAAATTTCCACCTCTCTGAGCCTGTTTATCATCCCTAAAGCAGAAGCAATGGCACCCACCTCTCAGGGCTGTCTTGTGGATTAAGTGAGAACACGTGTAAAGTTTTGAGCAGTGAGCTTGCGCAGTGCGATTTCAGTCAGTGGGAGGTTTGTATCATTTATTCTTCCCAGCAGTTCTATGAAGACTGTAGTACTGTCTCCAATTTACATTTAGGGAGACTGAGGCTCAGCAAGGAATAGCAAGGAAAAGCCTAAGGCTATTCCTAATGACTACTAATAACTAGAAGAGGCAGAGCCTGTACTAGAATCCAGATCTTTGGCTCCCAAGTCCTGTGGATCATACTCCATCCAAGCAGGTGATTTCTCAGGATACTCCTGTGTCCTGGCCTGATTTTGGGGGCCCCTTCCTCCCCATCCTGGGCCATTCTAGCCTTTGCTCTGCTGCCTCTGTCAGGTTATCCCGCAGAAAGACTCGGAGCAGCCAGCTGAGCTCCCGGCAGCTCCGGAGCAAGGACAAGGTGGAGAAGCTGGCCACGGTGGTGTCAGAAAACGACTCTGTCCTGCGGCGAGTGACCCGTGCTGCAACAGCAGCTGCAGCAGCCGCCGTAGCATTGGTCCCTCCTTCACCCACCCCTGAGTCTCCCATGGTGCTGACACAGAAGGCTGAGAACAGCTCCACCCAGAGCCATCTGGTACCTGTGGTAGAAATAGGCAGCAGCGAGCGTAAGAGCGCCGAGGACCACCTCGCCCAGCTCAGGTCTTCCAAGGCCTTGTCGCAGGCTCCAACCCCAGCATTGACCTCCCAGGGCCTTCTGACATCAGATGCAGAGTTCACACCTAAGAAGCCAGAGACTGGCAGGCTGGAGTCTGTCACTGTGAGCTCCTTACTGTCTACACCCCAGGACCCCAAGAGTCGAGGGGTTGGAACTGGAAGGTCCGCCTCCAAGCTCAGGATTGCACGGGCCTCCCCAGGCCCACAGGACTCTCCTGGCTCTCCAGGCTCTCCATGGCAGGAGCGGGTGCTGGCTCCCATCTTGCCAGATAACTTCTCCACACCCATGGGCTCCCGCATGGACACTCGGTCTGTGCGACGCAGCTTGATTCCACCATCCTCCTCGGATACTCAAGACTCGCTAGCCCAAAAGTACTCCCTGGTGGCCAAGCAGGAAACCACCATCCGCAGATCAAGCAGAAGGATCGCGAAGAAGGCTGCTGAAGAGCCAGCTGCCTCTGGCCGCATCATCTGTGAGTCCGGGCTTGGCAGTGGGCAGAGGTGAGGTGGGTGGTCCTTGGTGCCTGCCTCAACCAGAGAGTTTGTGGGAGACCTTCTAGCAAGGAGCTGTCTGTGGCACTGTCCCCAGTGTAAATGTTCCGTATCTGTGCCAACCTGTGCAGTAGCCATTAGCTAGCCACACCTGGCTGTTGTGCCCTCAGTATCTGGTTGGTCTGTAGAAGAACTAAATGAAAATTTTTATTCACATTTTTCTTAATTTTGACTTAAATAACCTCATGTAGTTAGTGGCTACCATATTAGTACAGATCTATCAATAGTTCATCCTTTTTGCAAATGAGGAAACAGGTCCAGGGAGGATAGACACAGTGTCTGTGTGGTTAATGGCTGTGTGGGGGCTGGATCTTGTGCCTTTAACCCAGGGCCATTTTGTTCCCCTCTCTTCCCTGTCCTGAAGATGCTAACAGAAATCTCCCATGCGCTGTCTTCTGTTAACCAAACAGGTTTTGTCTGGAGATGTGAATTTTCATTGCAGCAGGCTCATTCTGGGAGACCAGAGGACTGATGGGTGACAGGCAGGAGGGGGTGGGCCAAGATGACTTGGGAGCTGGATGGCTTGGAAAACCTGCTGATCCATTTACCTACCCTTGGGCAGGTTGCAGAAACCTCTTCTTGGGTCTTAGTCCTTATCTCTCAGTTGGGGGGTAATAATAAAAGGTGGTTGTGAGGTTTTCTTTGATGAGCTCATTTTGGTCCTGGCAGGTAGGAAGGGCTCAGTAACATTACCTGCTGTCATTATCAGATCTCAGCTCCAAGGGCCATTGTCCCTGTGGGTGCAGGTGCTAGGAGCCAGGGAGGATAGATAGGCCAGGACTCTTGAGTCAGGGCTGGCTGCTGGGGAGGTGGGGTCTGGGCTGGGAGGATTTTGAAGATGACTACACGTTTCTCAGGTGGAAAAGATGTAAGGACAGGTATCCCTGGCAGAGGGAACAGCAGGAACAAAGACCTTGAGGTAGGGAACTGCAAGCAATGGGGTGTGGCTTCATGTGAAAAATAGTCAAGAGGAAGGGAGGGAAGGGACAGGGAGACCCTGGGAGGAGGCTGCTGCAGAGGCCCAGACCCAAAGACAGGGAAGCAGTGACATAGATGGAGAGGCCGGGCCAGGTTTTATATTCACGCCTATTACATAGTCACTGGCACCACCCAGGTACTTCAGATTTATAAAAGATAAAGTGATTTCATTTGGTTCTTGCCACAGCCCCGTTACCTTGTTAGGGTTTCCCCGCTTCACAGAGGAGATTCAGGAGACAATTTATAGGTGGAGTATGTAAATTACAAGTCTGTAAATGGGCTCAAGGCCCACATGTTTCATTCTGTCCAGAAAGGCAGGTGCTGGCTGAGGAGGTCGGTGGCAAGTCCTGGGGCAGGACTCACCAGGCGAGTGAGGTGGCACATTTTCCCCTGGCCTAGTCACACTGCTGGGGAAGGGTTTGTGTCTAGTACGGAGCCCGGGGAGATGCAGTCTGGGGCACATGCGGATATGTAACTTGTCACACTGTCCGTATTTGGATTTTCAGAAGGATTTACATGGTTCAGATCTGCTTTGCAGATTTCCTCAGTCCTGAATCTGATCCTGGGAAAAGGTCCAATGTGTAGGTGAGCCTGGATCGATAGAAGGATTGCTGGGCAGGACAGGGGAGGGAGTCTCTAGAAGTCCTTTCACTTTTAGGGGGTCAGATGTTCAGATATGTGGCTCTTTTTAAAAAAAAAAAAAAAATAACCACAGGTTGTTTTTAATCGGGTTATGCAAAAAGCCTAACATAAGCACTTTATGCAAGATTAAAATAGATCTTCAAATCCAGATTTTTAACAAACATGTCAAGATCCTATACATAAAAGTTGTAGTCACTGGCACCCAAGAATGTTATCTGTGAAGCCGATAGCAATAGGAATGTGGTGAATGGTGATTGGCAATTCTAAAATTGTGATTTCAGTTAAAAAAAAAATTTCCATAAAATTTGGCTCAAAGTTTAACTGCTCATGCTTATAATACAAACCAGAGTGTTTACCTTACACTACACAATACAAGTTTCATCAATCTTGGGTATTTTTGTATTACTTATATGAATACTGTCAGTTTTATTAACAGATACTATTTTTAGCATACAAATGTTAATTATTTTCTCGTTATTCTTAAATGGATACGGTAAGATGTTGCCTTTAAGTGTTAAAGGTTGTAAGTCACTGGGTTATTGGCTGGGTGTTCTTTTTTGGTCATTTCTTGTTGGCAGACTTGATCCTGTGCTGCTTGCTGTGTTTCCTCTAGTTTTAACAGAGTCTGAGGTTTTAAGGGTAAAGTTTTAGGATTACACACCACCATTGTGGTTACATCTTCCACAGATAGCTGCCTTTGTTTTAAAGATCTTCCCAGAACATGGGCTTCACTTCCACCATAGTTAAATTGTTGGATACAGTAAACTTTGTTGAAAGTTCTGTTTTTTTTCTTGAAGCTTTAGGCTGCCAACCTGGTACTACCAAGATGACAGAGTTCTTGACTCAAACCTACAGAAAGAAAGATGCATCCTTTTCCCTGTTTCAGTTGTTGCCCAGTTATTGAAAAGTCAACATCACTTTGGAAACAGGAAGCTAGGAAACTCCTCGTGCCATTATCAGCTATGGTTGCCTTAGCGTCAACCCAGATGTGTGGCTCTTAAGCCATTTCTATTGCTCTTCTCCCTTCGCCCCTTCCCCTTTGATTTGACGGGTCTAACTCAAGCCTGGTGCTTATTCCACTTTCTTGAGGTGGAAAAAGTGAGATGGGTGAAGCAGTATTTGGGATCTGGAGGCACACAGATCCTGGGTAACCTTGAGACTCCTCTTCTCTGAATCTGTTTCCCTGTCTGCTAAATGGTGTGGGCAGAAAACCTGTCTTAGTGATTGAATATGGCGCATGTTCGGTGATCTTTAAACAAAGCAAATGAGCAAACCCAAGAAAAGACAGTTGTATCCCTGAAGTTCGGTGTTGTGGCCAGGTTGATCTGGGAGCTGCAAAGGTGGAGGGCAGTGAGTATCCTGGAGGTCTTCCCAGCACCCAGCTCTGGGGCATGGCTGAGTGGGCAACTGTGGTGGGATCTTGGGTCACTCCTTCTGAAGAAGCCCTACCACAAGGATTTGAATGCAATGTGTTTGTTGATTTTGGAGGGGAAAGAAACATTTCTAGCGGGGGTCGGGGAAGTGAGACGGGGAAAGGCAGACTTGCCATAAAGGCTAGGCATGGGTGCGGGGGCCTCTGGAACCCAGTGCAGAGTCCTGGAGTGAGGAGCTGAAGGATGGGCCGAGTCCCCTGCCCTTCTGGTATAGTGTGTGTCTGCCAGAGTTTTGACATTAGAATAGCCCCTTGGTCCCTCTGCTAGCCTTAGGCTACCTCCCTGCTGCCACACCTACTCTAATGGCACATGATGGCATTTAATATTCCAGAGAAGTTCTCATGCTGGTGGGGTGGACAGCAGCCTTTTGCTTCCCCATTAGCAAATACTTGAGCTGGGGAGACCCAGGCAGATGAGGGGAGCCGTATCTTCTGATCGCAGGCTTCTTAGCCACCACTAAGATAGCCAGACTTGCCCTCTGACTGCCTCCTCCCATACTCTTAGCCTCGTCACTGTGTCTAGGAAAGGCCTTGTTGCTCTCTGTGCCTAGCCAGTTTACCTCTCCAGCGACTTGTCCATATTTCTTCTTTCCCTGGGCCCTGGACATCACTTGGCCTTACCTGGCTGCCTCTCAGCTCACCTCTGGCCACCCTCACTCCCGTGGCTAGCTCCTATGGCTCAACACACTAGTCCAGCACCCTTATTTCTGTTCCTGTGCGAATCTCCTTTTTCCTGCTTCATGACCCCTGCAGGTGCTTTTTCTTCTGTGTAGATTAATGTGGCACTTTGCATGGCTCTTTTAGTTGTGCATGTTTATAACTTTGTGCATCAGTCATTTAAAAAAATAAAGTACTGTATCACTGAGTTATACACATCTTCCAAATGTCCACACACTTCATTACATCAACAACAATAAAAAAAAGGCATTTGTTTTCTTTCTTTCTTTTCTTTTTGAGAGGTTTTTGCTATAGGGTGCATACGCTCGCCAGAAAGACAAGAGAGAGACAGAGAGACAGAAAGTGAGAAATCACCCCCCAGGGAGGATGGCCATGCCGCAATCCCTTCTCCTCCATTCTCCTCTCGGGATCTAGGGCGCACATGCACATATGCCCGGCGTGAGTTTAAGCCACCGGGTCCGGGACTTGAACTGCGGTCAACTACATTGGAGTTCAGCTACATAGCCACTATGCTAACTACTAGTCTCGGCATTTGTTTTCTTTTTTTTTTTTGAGAGGTTTTCGCTATAGGGGCGCGTGTGCTTGCCAGACAGGCAGAGAGAGACAGAGAGACAGAAAGCGAAAAATCACCCCCCAGGGGGGATGGCCACGCTGCAATCCCTTCTCCTCCATTCTCCTCTCGGGATCTTGGGCACGCATGCACACGCGCCCGGTGTGTGTTTTAAGCCACCGGGTCCGGGACACGAACCGCGGTCGACTACGTGGGAGTCCAGCGACATAGCCATTAAGCTAACTGCTGGTCCCGGCATTTGTTTTCTGATCCTACCAGAAAACTCCTTAGGTATTAGAAAGCCTTGTGGTGGATGCATGTTTTTAAAAATTCTACTTTTGGCTTTTTTGGGCTCAGTATTTTATGGTTGTCAACAGATGGGTTAGTGTTAAGTGACAGACTCAACATCATTAATTTTTAAATTTTTTTTTAAAGATGTTTTGCCATGGGGCATGTGCGCTCACTGGAGAGAGACAGAGACAGAGGGAAAGTGAGAAATCATCCTCCAAGGTGGATGGCCATGCCACAATCCCTTCTCTTCCATTCTCCTCTTGGGATTTTGGGCACACACACATACACATGCACCTGGCATGATATTCAAGCTGCTGGATTTGGGACTCATACTGTGGTTGACCATGTGGGAGTCCAGCACCTAAACTGCTATGGCAAAGCTACCCTCCCCCCCAATTTTATTAATATATAAGGAAATGTCTTCTGCAAACTGAAGACTGCATAATCATAGTTTGTCAGTTGTTCTTTCAATGAAAAATAGTGTTCTTTGAAGAAAAGCAGCTAGTTTGGTTGGCAACTCAAACATCATGCCTTTTGTGGAGACTTGGGTTTGCTGTCCGAAGGCATTTTTCATACCTCCTATTTCTTTGTGTGGAATATTAGAAGACAGGCACTTGAGTTTAGACTTAATTAAATCAATACACTTTATTCCTTCATCAGGGACATTTTAAAGTGAAATTGGACATTTCTTTACTGTAAGTGTGTAATGTGATGACTACCATCATTGTATCACATGCTCATGTTTTTTTTTTTTAATGCCCCCTTCTTTCCTTCCTTCCTTCACTCCCTCCCTTCCTTCCTCTGTACCTTCTTTTAAGAGGGAGAGATAAAGAGAGATAGGTACTCTTGACATGGTTTCGCCACGCCACATTCCACTCACAGCTTTCTAGCCAGCCTGGATTATCTGGTGTATCCGGTGTATTCGGTTGATCTGGGATCTGAAACTTAGGCTTTCTTTATTTCTTTATCTTAATTTGCTTTAGGTCATGTGCATCTTTGGGAGTTGGGGAATGACCACACCGCAATCCCCTCTCTTTCATTCTCCTCTCGACCATTGGATACATATGCACGCATGCCTGGATTGTTCCTCAAGTCAGTGACTTGAGGACTTGAACCACACAGGCAGCCATGTAGGATCCACCACGCCACTGGATGGCCTACCTTAGGCTTTCTTTTATGGTTCCAGTATTAAGCAGTAGTGCCCTATGGCTTGTGCTGGGCTCATACACTCATTTGGATGCTGTAGCCTTGGCCGATGCTAAGGGTGTCGTTGCGGGTATCAATCACAGTGTTGTTTATAGGATTACTTCGTGATTGTTACCAAGACCCAATAGTGGCTGTCTGTTATTTTCCTTATTGGGTTCCCAGTGCCTGGAGTACTTAGTAGGTACTTGAAGGCTCTTTGCTGAATGAATATGTTGCTTTGCATTGGGCCTCTTATTGGGAATTGGAGCCCTGAAGCTGAGCCAGATTTTGTCTCTTTTCCCAAGATACACCCAGTCTAGAGAAGGCTTGAGATGTGCCCTCAGATGGGCGTGTTTCCAGTAAGAAGCGCAGGAGACGTGCAGGTGGCAGCTCCACTGAGGCTGCCTCTGAGGGTGAGGTGCAGCTGAGGGTGAGGCCTGGCCTGGTGGGACCTCTGCATCAATGGAGGGAGCAGGAGCTGAGCCCCAAACATCAGAACTGACTCCTTGCACCTCTTGGGGTGGCACCTGGCTACTTTTAGTGACATCTTTGGTTCCTCTTTTCCTCTCAGGTCACAGTTACTTGGAGAGGCTTCTGAATGTCGAGGTGCCCCAGAAAGTCAGGTAAGTACAGTTCCAGGGGTGGGCAGGGCATTTTGGGGGCCAGGCAGTACAGGTGAGCGTTCATGAAATCATTTCCTGTTGAACCTTCCCTCCTCTGCCCTGACTGCCCACATGCTGTCCCCCTGCTGGCAGCCTTGCCCCTGTCCCATCAAACCAGGCAGTAAGCCACATGGCTTCAGGTCTCCCTGCTAGACCCTCCAGGCCTGTATTTACCCGGGAGCGTGAACTCCACAGGGTGAGGGTGAGGTGGAACAGCTCTGAGGAGCGCTTGCAGATTGGGGTGGAGTAGAATGGGGCACAAGGGGCCAGCAGTGCTCCCTGCTTCAGGCTTTTACCCTGCACCACTTGGGGCCAGGACGTTGACTCCTTTTCCTGGAGGCCATGTTCCAACTAAAACTAGTCCCCTTCCTTGCTTGCTTTGGAGCAGAGGGTCAGTGCTTGGGATGAGGAAACAGGGAGTCTATCTTTGTTGGCCTCCTGGTGAATGAAGAGCAGGCCTCAAGAGATGTGGCTCATCTAGGCTCAAGAGGCAGAGGCGGAGCTGGGGGCCAGCTCACATCCATATCAAGGCCCTGGGGTGAGATGAAGCCAGATTTGGAAGCTGACATTCCTCATCTGCTCAGGGAACCACGGGCTATGGCTGCTGTCCTCCCATCCTGCTGGGGGATCAGGGCGACTGACCCTCTTGGGTCCCTACTTTGAGGAGTGGGGAGGGCCCCTGTTGGGCTCACTGGGCATTTTCCACAATGCCCCTGTTCTGTTTTCAGCCCTGAGCAGAAGGAGCCTAGCAAAGAAGCTGAGCCTGTGGTGGCAGCTGAGCCTGAGGTAAGGTGGGTTGGCCATTGGGGAGGATGGGAGACCCCTGGGGCTCCTGCTCGGTCCCCTAGCTGTCCTGAGCTCAGGTTCCAGGTGGAGACCCCCAAGACCTTGTTTTTTTTTCCCACAGGTCCCCAAGAATGACAGGAGTACTTTGTGGCCTCACAGTGCCACCAGCGTTGCCATTAGTACACCTGACTCGAAGCCTGTAGCTGGTGGCCAGGAAACACCCTCTGAAGGGCAGCAAGGTGAGCCTCCCAACCCACTGTGGCAGTTCCCCAAAGCCACGGTGGCCTCGGCCTGACCTTGTCTCTGGGGATAGGCCAAAGGTGAATGAAACCTGGGGGTGCTTAGCTCTCCTTTGTTCTGTAGGTTTCATCTCCTGCCTTCTGGCTGGAGCTGCTGCGTGCCACATGAGTGACCCTGGCTGGTTGGGGCAGGAAGCAGGGGGAAGAGCCTGACTTGGGATATTCATGTGAAGGTGCCAGGTCAAGGCTTTGAGCGCCACCCTAAGGGACAGCAGGACAGACTGTCGGGTGGGGGTCTGGACGCCTACCTGGCCTCATTGTTTTGTGTCTGCCACTGGCTCTGATCTTTGCAGGTTTTTCCTCATTTAAAGAGGGCAGGTGCTGTAGGCTCTGGGAGTCGGCCTGGAGCTCTGCCAGGCTTCCCAGGCTATGGGGTGGGAGAACAGTGTCCTGCTCATGTCTTCCTGTGAAGGATGCTTCTCTCTGTAGGAAGAGCGCTGTGTCTTTGAACCAGCTTCTTCATGACTGGGTCAGGGAGAATGCTCCTGACAGACCCACAGCCCCGGGGCTTCTGCTAGGACCCTTTGGAGTGAGGGGTGCTTTCTTACTGTGAAACAAAGTGTGCTGACATGCATCTCGCTTGCTGACTCCATGATGGGAGCAGCCCCTCCTGTTGGTGGCACCAGCTACAAGGGCCGGGAGGAGTGGATTTAGAGACTATGAAGGAACTGCTAGCATTTGCACATTTGCAGCTTCTCAGTGGTTCTGTACAGAGCACTCAGTATTAGAGGCAGGTGGACATGGCTTAGGGCTGCCACAGAGGCCCTATGCTGGGGGTGAGGGGTCTATGGGCTGGCCTGGTAAGCTGGGCTCTGGACATCCATAGGTTCTTCAAGGCCAGCTGGTGCTAAGGCTGGTGCTTTTGCCACTGGCCGACCTCGGCACTGTCAGGAAGGGAGCTTTGCCTCTGCCAAGGCTGTTGCTGCTGGTGGGCACCTTCCCCAACCCCTCCATGCTCACCCACTGTCTTCATTCCTACAGCCTTACTGAAATTGCTCTCTTCACAGAGGCCAAGGCTGACCAAGCAGACGGGGCCAAGGAGCCACCCCAGAGTGTCAGGTTTGCATCTGGGAAACGTGTGTAGGCGACTGTGTCTTGAGGGGCCCAGAGGGGCATGCAAGTAGAGTCTCGGCTTGGAGGTTGTGGGGGTGATCAGGGGCACCATTGCCTCTTGGTTGGGCATGCCCTGGTGCTCTGATTTAACAAGGAGCAGTGTGATGCTGCGGGGTGAGTGCTGGCCTGAGAATGGGTGATCGGATGGTTGATCTGTCCTGGGTCCTCCTGGCCCTGAGACCGTGGAGCCTTACCCTTCATGGGCAGCAAGGGCTAGGTCAGGAAGACCCAGTTCTGCAGGGCCTTTCAGTCTAGATTCCTATGGCATGGGCTCAGTTTTGTTTATGGGGATGGCTTTGTTTTTTTTTTAAAGAATTATCTTTTAAATTAAATTTTATTTATTATTTTAATTGTTTTCTACTTTGATCAGAGAGAGACAGAGAGAGAGGGAAAGTGAGAAAGCAAGCCACCAGGTTCAGGACTCAAACCACAATTGGCCATGTGGGAGTCCAGCACCTTTAAACACCTTTTCCGTCTGCTGGCCCAGAAATGGCTTTTTATGTGGTGTGGCTGGGTAATGGGATGGGTCCCTGGGGCAGCCAGTCCCTGAGGCTCTGGCAGCCTGCCCCATGACGCTGCTGCCCATGCCTCGGCAGGAGGAAGCGCAGCTACAAACAAGCGGTGAACGAGCTGGACGAAGAGCAGCACTCAGAGGATGACGAGCTACAACCTCCCAGGAACAAGACCCCTTCACCGCCCTGTCCAGCCAACAAGGTGAGCCCGGCTCCCTTCCTCTCTTGGTGTCCTGCCTGCATGCCTACCTGCTGAGTCCTGAGCCTGGTCTTTGTCTGCAGGTGGTACGGCCCCTCAGGACCTTCCTGCACACCGTTCAGAAGAACCAGATGCTCATGACCCCGGCCTCGGCCTCCCGCAGTGGTGTCATGAGGTCCTTCATTAAGCGCAACACTCCCTTGCGTGTGGACCCTAAGGTGAGGGAACTCTATCCCAGGCCGGGCCTTGCTAGGGCTGGAACAACATGGCTGAAGGCTCCAGGCTGCTGGGAGTAGTATGGGTCGGGATGGAAGCAGGCATGGCCTGGCATTGGCCGGGGACCAGCTCAAGCATCAGTGGCCATGGGCTGCTTTGACAATGGGGGTCCCTGTCCTGACCTTGTGGACTCTATACTGAGGTGCAAAGGCTGAATGGGAGCCCTGGGCCTAGGGTCTGGTCTGGGAAGTTGCAGGGTTGGCCCAGGAGACCACCTGCACTACCCAGCCATCCTCGTAGTGGTTGGCTAAGGTGGGGATGAGGGTTGTCTGGGATGAGAGGAGTTGGTGAGGCTGGTGAGAGGGTGCAGGCCCTGAGCTGGACGCATGGCCTGCTGTACTGGACATCCCCTGGCCTGCACTAACTCTTGGCTTTTTCCTTGTCCTCTCTCCCCCACAGTGCAGCTTCGTCGTAAGTAAAGCCTTTCCTGTTCTGTAACCTAGCTTCACCTAACACTTCCCTGCTATAGCCCTGTCCCCGCATAACTGACAGCACTCATAGATGCACTAACTTCGTAAGTGGGAGCTCTAGGAAGAGACCTGGGGGTCTGAGGGTGCACTAGGGGTGCTCAGTGGTTGGCTGGAGGTGCACAGCAGTTCTGGGGCCCGACATCTTTTCTCTGCAAAGACAGCCTTTCTGCCCTTGACTCTGCTCCCAGGAGGAAGCCAGGAGGGGTGTGGCCTGCACCTGTTCACCAGGGCCACAGGTTGAAATGTTCCCCAGATCTCTTCTCCCACCCCCCTGAGCACATACATACTTCCTGCCACAAGTTAGGCTTCATGAAAAATGGCCAACCTGCTGCTGGTTCAGAGTCTGGTCTTTTTCCCAACTTACCTCCTACTGTTATATTTCAGAGGCCTCAAATAGCTGCTCCCTGTACTGTACTCAAACTTGATAGCTGCATTCAGTGGAGAGGCAGGAGTGTGTCCACTCATCTTACCTATTAACCGAAGCTTCCCTTCCCCATCTCTGGGAGGATTGTAGTACTTTGGGGTCAGATTACTAGGTGGAAATGCTCCTTCAGCCATGGTCAGGGCTAGGAGCCAGGGAGAGAGTGACAGGAGCCAGTATGGAAGGAGGGGGCTGGCTGTCCGAGGCTGAGCCCAGAGGTGGGAGTCTGGTGGGAGCCAAGATGGGGTCCTGGATCCCTTAGAGAGAGAACGCCAGTTCTGTCCTTGGCCGGGAGGACTTGGAGCCCCTGTCTGTCCACACTGGCTGTGGGTGGCCTTGTTCCCTGGGGCTTCCTGGTCTGCCAATGGTCTTGCTGCACAACCAACAACTCTGAAACAACTCTTAAAAGCTGTTTAAAAAATTATCAACATAGCCAGTTCCCAGGAACTTGAGCTTGTTTTCCTGGTTGCCACCAACTCGGCCCTGACTCAGGAAGTTCAGAAAGTAAAGGAAACAAATTCCATCTCGAAGGTGCTACACTAACCTGTTGTAGTAACCTCTGTTAGCATTTTTTTTTTCTTCTTTTGGAGAGGTTTTTGCTATAGGGTGCGCGCGCTCGCCAGAAAGACAGAGAGAGGCAGAGAGACAGAAAGCGAGAAATCACCCCCCAGGGGGCATGACCATGCTGCAAACCCTTCTCCTCCTTTCTCCTCTCAGGATCTTGGGCTCGCACGCACACGCGTCTGGCATGAGTTTAAGCCACCAGACTACACGCTTGGGCGCGGACGCACACGCGTCTGGCATGAGTTTAAGCCACCAGACTACACGGGAGTCTAGCGACATAGCCGTTACACTAACTGCTGGTCCCACCTCTGTTAGCTTTGAAAGGATTTTCTTTTTTTTTCTCCCAGCCATGACGAAGTAGTTGAAATGCATGTAAGGAAGTGTGTGTGTGTGTGTGTGTGTGTGTGTCCACACAGATTGAAGTTATAAAGCTTAATAGTAATTAACACTTGAATACCACTCCTTCCAATTGGACATTAACTTATTTTTTAAAGAATTATTTGATTGAACTTTTTTTTTTTCTTTTTTAATCCATTTGTTTATTTTAATTGGACCAGAGAGCGACAGAGTGAGAAAGAGAGGGAAAGTGAAAAAGCAAGCCGCTGGGTCCAGGACTCAAACTGCGGTTGGCCATGTGGGAGTCCAGCGCTTCCAACCACCACACTACCTGCTGGCCCCGTGGATATAAACTTTTGAAGCTGCCTTTCTGTCCCCTTCCAAACTCATTCTTCATTCCTGTTTCCAGTGCACTGTTTATATTGTTATAATTGGCACGTGAAGCCAATTTTGAGCTTGTTTTCCTGGTTGCCCCCAGCTCGGCCCTGATTCAAGCCCTTGGGAGGCATTTGGGTCCTCCTGGGAGGAAAGACTGAAGCCACAGGCCTTGGCTGGGTGGGGATGGAGGACACACTGGGGCTGCTTTGCCTCTGAGAAGCGTTCTCATGCTGCTGCCCATTGGGTTGAGGGCTTCCAGGGGACTTCCGGGCAGCCTTTGGGGTCAGGGGTTGTCCTTGCTCACATCTCAGTCCCTCTGCCCCCAGGAGAAGGAGCGGCAGCGCCTGGAGAACTTGCGGCGGAAGGAGGAGGCAGAGCAGCTGCGCAGGCAGAAGGTGGAGGAAGACAAGCGGAGGCGGCTGGAGGAAGTGAAGCTGTAAGTGGCCTGGCTTCGGGCTCCGGGGTCTGGGCG